TGTTTCTCCAGCGACTTGTCATCCACAACTTAAATACAGCCTTCTTTCTCTTCCTTGCCTCAGACGCTTTTTTTAAAACAGCCTTTAATATAATTAATTTAAATCCTGATGCCTATCGTTCCTCCTGAGCTTATGCAACAAAAACAAATTAGCCAGCACCAATTATTTCCAGTAAGTACGGCCTTTATGATATCATCATTTCTTAAGCATGACTGACTTGTTACTGCCTAAGACTTAGGGCCCATCAGGCTACGTGCACGAACTCTCACCGACATTGTCAAAATCAAGTTTTTCTAATTAGTGCTCCAGTAGCACTATGGAAATAACATGGGTGTGTGGATTGATTTGTTGTGGGTTTTTTTTTCTGAAGAGGAACACGAACAGTCTTTCTACATAGACCTGGGTATAAGACTGAAATAATTCTAAAAAAATCCACCGTAAGCATGTTTATACCATCACTGCGTGGATTAACATTGCCATTTAAAATGCTTTACTCATTCTGTTATTAAGCCACGCTTTTGAAAAACAGAGATAAACAAGAAATACCTTCGAAGGCAAGAGAGCTATTAAATATACCACACAGATAAACGTATCATTAATTGGCACTCTTCACAAGCGATGAAAACACGGTCGTTTTGCTTTATTGAAACCGAATAAAGGAAACCCTAAAGTAGTATTGATGAACAGTCCATTACTATTATGATTTAATTATTTTAAAATAATTGTTGGTATTGAAAGTAAAATAGAATTTTGGCCTGTTATTGCAACACAAGTGATCAATGCAAACAAACCCTGTCAGATCAGATTAGTGCTTAAATGTCACAGGAGTAAAACCTAATGACGTATGTTCTAAGATAAATAACCTATTTTATATGTCTATAGTTGATGCATAAACACATGAAATGAACGTGTCAGTTACCCACCTTTAGCAGACAAGAGTTTTAAATCTACACCCTGATTAAATAAAAACTATTTCACAGACTCAATTCCCACAATGTTACCCTCGCACCCAACAAATCAACTCAAACGCACTTCACATCATGACAGCAGAAGTTGCTTGCTCCCCTGCACCCAGACCTCCTTGAGAGATGCCATCCCTGTGCATACGTGCCCTCACTGGTACCCGCTTCGGGCACTCAGGACTCAATTCCCACAATGTTACCCTCGCACCCAACAAATCAACTCAAACGCACTTCACATCATGACAGCAGAAGTTGCTTGCTCCCCTGCACCCAGACCTCCTTGAGAGATGCCATCCCTGTGCATACGTGCCCTCACCGGTATCCGCTTCGGGCACTCAGAGAATCATAGAATCATAAAATAGTTTGGATTGGAAGGGACCTCTAAAGGTCATCTAGTCCTGGCCTGTATCAGAAAGAGTGTGGCCAACAGGAGTAGGGAAGTGATCTTGCCCCTGTACTCGGCACTGGTGAGGCCGCACCTCGAATACTGTGTTCAGTTTTGGGCCCCTCACTACAAGAAGGACGTTGAGGTGCTGGAGCGTGTCCAGAGAAGGGCAACGAGGCT